CTCTGCAGTAATGGCTTCTACTTCTTTTCGCCAGATCTGTCTATAGTTGCTGCATACAATGCAAAGCAAAAAAGCTCTAATAGTGCGAGAGTCCTGTGAAATGGAGCACTGTAGCAGGTGAGACTGCTTGTCTTGAGATTACATCCCTTCCCTGACAAACCACACAGTGAAGGGTTTGTAAGGCGATGGACATATTCCACAAAGCGTCTGACTTTCATGTATGCTTACCCTGCAGGCAATAGTAGGGTGGGGAATATCTAAAAGCTGTGACGTTTGAAACATTGGCGTGTCAGCGATGGCGATAAATGTGCACCGATCTTGGAATGATCTTTCTCAATTTCACGAGACCTATCTGCCTAAGCAGTTTACAAAATTTATGGGCTTCTGAACGAAGGTGGATATAGCTTCCTGAGACCTTGTTACGCAAAGTGCAAGAAATCTGAAAAAACACTGACCTTCTTGGACAGCTCAAAAAAGAAGAGCTTGGCCAGCGAGGCGATGCGCTCGTCTGAGTCCACGATACATGTGGCCATCTCGCTGATCTGACCCTTGACCTTGACCATGTCGTTCAGGATCAGGTGGGTCAGGACCATCAGGGTGTTCTTGCGGACGTGGGCCGAGGGGTCACGCAGTCTGGAATTGGAAACCGTAGACACTATTTAGTGCCGAGTCCATCGCTAGGCCTTTCACAAGGCCAGCCACAAGCATCGAACAGGATGAGCACAGATAAAGGAATTCTTCTGTCCTTGTTTGAACAGCTTGTGACTTGCCTGCGAATGGATGGCCTGAAAAGGACTTGTGATGGACTCCAACCACGGTGATTGCCCTGTCCCTAAGAACCCGGAACGTGGTCGTACAAAATTACTGCAATCAGAACCCGAGTACTGCAGTTGTTGCTGTTGCTCATTGGGATTTTTCTCAATCGAGATTTGTGACATTGTTAACTTTGGGCAGTAAATCCTACCTTGCATACAGGTTTGGGGTCCAGGGCTCGATCAGGTTAGGGAAGCGGAAGGTAAGGTCGCCCAGGGCAATGATGATGTTGGCTCGGATGACAGGTTGGGGAGCCTGAAATGGAAAGACGGAATGGATTATGCAACGAAACAAAAAAGACAACACGTAATGCAACGAAACAAAAAGACAACACATAATGCAACGAAACAAAAAGACAACACATAATGCAACGAAACAAAAAGACAACACATAATGCAACGAAACAAAAAGACAACACGTAATGCAACGAAACAAAAAGACAACACATAATGCAACATAACGAGAGAGACAACACCATCAATTCCTGACTGGGGAGTCAGGTTGGCGTAGTGGTTCTTTCCGTGCCATTCACCTCTGAGGCTTGAGTTTGATTCCCGGCCCGGTGCACACGTGGATTAGGTTTTCAGTCACTACCTGATTCCATGGATTTTACCCAGAATATACTTCTCGGGTTACCCTCCAACCTCTAAAACCGCACATGCTTCTTTCGATTGGTGAGCTACAGTGCCTCGAGTGCTTTTAAAGAATCCTTGGTTTCATTACCCAAAATGCTTCATAATTCTAATTGTTGAAAGCTGCAAATGGCAAGTAATGGGCACACAGGCTGCAGTGGGCTCAATGTACGAGATGATTATTGACAATAATGTTGGTATGGGCCAACGTATTGCAAGCCTGCCTGTTTGTGCATGTCCCGCATGGAATAACCTGGATTTCTCCACCTACCTTCTCTAAGATGGTGAAGAGGAGCTGCAGGTGGGTCTCACAGAACTCCGAGCTGACCAGCATGAACTTGGCCAGGGCCAGGGAGCTGGCGGCCCGCAGGCTGGGCTCGCTGTACTTGACCGGATTGCTGCAGACCGCCACCAGGAGTGGACGGATGGCCGATAGCAGGTTGTGACCTGTGGGAGGAGACAGGCACTGTTAGACCAATGGGTTCCTTGTACAAAAAAGAGGGAGTGGTTTCTAGCACAGTACTGAGATCGCAGTAATTTGACACAGTGTTATTTTGACCAGCAGGGACCAATTGCAGCCACAGCAAAGATGTCCAGTGAGCACGCACTGGTCCTGCGGCTGGATTGGATTGAGATCAGTCCCCAACATGGCAGCCCGGCACAGTTAGGTAGCCTTAATTCAAAGTAATGTTGAAGCATTAAGTTCCCAGTGTACAAAATAACTGGTTCTTGTCACCTTGCTGGAAAGTGAGTGACACAATGCCATTATTGCACGGCGGGACTTCCTGGGTATAGAGGGTTTACATGGCTGCCACCTCGGAGGCAAGTGTTTTTGTTCCACAGGGTCTGCACAAAGGAGGCTTCCCTGTGGAACAAAAGAGAATTGCCCTGCAAGATGGCTACCACGCAAAGCCTCTATACAGTACCCTTTGCATGGACTGACCTGTAAGGCTGCCCCATTCTAACCAAGCCTCAGAAGGGCTGGCTATTCATATAACAGTTGGAAAACTGTTTTTACCATTACTAGGAGGCTTTCTAAGGGTACAGTGATCTCACGCTACAGCTTGGTCCGTATTTCTCGGACAGCAACAATTAAAACCTAGCCCGAGAAAACTGAGCAGCAAAACAAGGAATGGCCCCACCGGTACTCTGCAGTGTGTGAATGCGCAAAGAAGACATTTGAGTAATGGGCTGCTCACCCGTCACCAGCTCTGATTCGCAGATCTTGCGGATATACTCTGCCTCTGCATCCTCCGCTGCAGCCCCACCCAGACCCATCTCGTCCTCAATACCAGTCTGCTCCCCGCTGGTGCTCTCCTGTGCCCGCAAAACGTGGGGAAGGGATAGAGGTTAGAACCTGTGACGCCACACAGCACGGTCTGTTGTACACCGCAGTGACAATATGCTCTGTTGATTGTTGAGGCCGTGAATCCAATTCTGACGGACTACTCTCCTTCAAAATTTGGCACGGTCCGATCTGGATTGTGGGTACCCTCAAACTGCCTTCACTTGAGTGAAAGCCAGCAAAACACATTCATTAATGGGATACACCACAGAGCTCAATAGTTGCACAATACCACAGAGCTCAATAGTTGAATATACCGCAGAGCTCAATTGCTGACTATGCCGCAGAGCTTAATAGCTAAATATACCACAGAGCGCAAAAGTTGAATATACCACAGAGCTGAATAGTTGAATATGCCGCACAGCTCAATAGCTGACTATGCCGCAGAGTTTAATAGCTACATATACTACAGAGCACAACATTTGAATATACCACAGAGCTCAATAGTTGAATATATTGTGGGGATCAATAGCTGAATATACCGCACACTTCCTGTTACCTTAGCTGTCTCCTTTTGCCCCTTGGTCTGGTCCTCTTTCTCCTTCTCCTGGATATTACGTCTGCGCTTCATCTCACCAGCCACCATCACGTCCAGGTGCACCAGCTGGGCTAAGGCCACGTGGCCAGCAAAGGCCAGGAAACGGGAAAGGACACCAGCTGGGCAGGTGGCGCTTGGTCCATCGGCTGCTGTAAATAACAGCAGCAAACAAAATATGTATACAAGGATGGGTGGAACGTACATGCCGGAAGAAACAATATCACTTTGGGGATTTGACTAAAACTGAACTAAAGAATTAAAACTGAAGGAAATCCTCTGAAATTCATGATTGTTTTTAAGGAAGAATTTCTTCCAAATGCAAACTTTTGGGGCAACGAGAGAAGACATTTGAATTAAAAAAAAGTTGGAAAACTCAGTTCAAATGTCAGAGCACTTACCATGCAAGACATGGCAACTGCTCTGAGATTTGAAGCAATTCCTCAAATCTTGCTTTTCCATAAATTACTGAATGAGAAACAAATGAAGGGACAAGCACCTTCTTGTTCTGGTGCGCTTCCATCGTCGGCCTTGTCTGTCTTCTCCTGGCTCTGGTCAGTGGTCAGAACGGCCGCCGCAAGACCCCTGATGATATCCCCACACACGCGGTCAGGGTGCTCAGCCAGACGGTAGATAGTGTTGATGGCTTGCTCGGCCAACGGTAGCCAGTGGTTCTTCTGCAGGTCGGTGATTCCTGAGACCAATCAATCAAACATGTAATCAATCAATCAAGCACGGCATCTTCTATGAGTTCAGGACTCAATCAACTCTGGAAGACAATTAATCTTTAAATGCATTAACTAGTGACGGCTTAGAAATGTGGAGTGCAGTTTCGTGAAATTGATTTTACTCACTATATGCATATTCATTTTCATGTAAATCCTGAAGCAGCAGAAGCGAGGATACAATAAACCAGTAAACAGCAGTAGAGTAGCTTTTATTTCCACAAAGTGGCTTGATTTTGTCAATCTGGAGAGCAATCAATCCAAATTTAATTGATTGATCAACAATTACAAATGCATCTACAGCAAGTTGAGGTCTTCACATGGTCGACTTTGGAAGACAAATCGACGGTATTCAGAAATCAACTTTGACCCCAAGTCCTCCAACTGGGCATTTGCTTTTGTGTGAGTGCTGAACAGTAGCCTTCATTTCCACAATGCTGCTTGAATTTTTGTTGATCTAATCAATCAATACATACCTGTAATAAGGATGGTTGACAGGCGTGTGAAGATCTGATGGTCAGCCGGAAAGCGGAATGGTTCTTCACCGCCCAGAACCTTGGGCTGCAAGAAAAATAGAGAAGAAACGTGATGGCTGAAAATCTGCACAATTCCTGCTTTTCTCTCCCCCTCCCCCCCCCTCTCTCTCTCTCTCTCTCTCTCTCTCTTATTTTGTAACTGGCAAGGATGTACAACCAGCTCTGGACACTAGATTTCGGATGCAGCCTCACCTTGTCGGCTTTGACGATCTTTAGCAGGGCCAGGCAGGTGTCTCTGGCCAGGGAGAAGTCCTCCTGGCCCCTGGGTCCCAGCCCCTCCGACACCAGCACCTCCACATTGCTGCGTACGATGTTGGCGTCGGCCCTGTGAGGAATGAAGGGGAAGAGAAAAAAAACCCTACCGATGACAGCTTCAGCCCCGGCAGAAACTATGAAGTACGCGGAGGTCCTGTTCCACATCTTGTCCCTAGAAAGCAGAACGTCTGATAGAATCCTTGCATTCCAAAGGTCTTGAGGACATGTTGTTCTTCATCGTTTATGCTGGTTCGTGACTTATTCTCATGTTCTTCAGATTCTGAAATCCATCCGGCAACCATCAGACACCATGACGCGACACCTGCCCAGCACCTTTTACATCAGTTTATCACCTCCCATAATCA